TTTCAATGAAATTCGGTATATAATATTTTAACACCCTAATTACATGTACCAAATATGGGTGAAATCTGTTCACAAACACGCCTGAAATCTCGATTATCACTTTATCATGCGAGAGTATAAAATGTTCGGTGACACCCGAACTTAGCCCGTCCTTACTTGTTCTGTTTTATTTTTATATATGTATATAGATGATTATATAATTAAATTTTCCCGATTTGTACCGTTCAAACGGATTACCATAATATAAATCCGTTTATTATCATACATATATATGTATGTACATACATACAATAAATAGAAATGAAAAACGATACTCTTACTTTATCTCGCCTCAAGGGTTTTTTTGAGGGAAAGTAAGTTTTTGGTTTGTAAAGTTATGTCTGTGTGCTCCGGTTTCCTGTTGTATTAATGTTTTTTGGCCGATCGCGCCCGAATTATGTATTAGATTATATTAATTGAATTTTTATAACGCGCAACGTAACGTAATGTATTGTACAAAGTCATTTACATGCGTTAAATGTTCTATGGACCATCCAACCACAGTGTCAGAAAGACAAGGATTAACCTGTCAAATGTGTTAATTGCTTACAACACTGCTAGCTATAAGGACTGCAAAATTAATCAAGAATTAATTGCAAAGCAGAAGCCTAATACTAATTTCTTTAGTCAGCAATCAAGCAAAGCTCCTCAGGTGCATAATATTTCAACTTCTTACAGGACAAATGATTTTAACAACTACTCCTGTCCAACTTATGCACAGATACTACACGAAAATAGAAATTTAAATAACGAAGATCCTTTCGAAAGAATCGAAGCTTTATTAGYAAAACAATTTGAATTAACAATTAATCTCATCAACGTGATATCTCTGTTAATATCAAAAATATGAAAGTAGTTATTCAAATTGCTGTATGGAATGCGAATGGGCTTTCCAATCACACAGAAGAAGTAAAACTTTTCCTCAAATTTAATTACATTGATATATTTTTGATATCAGAAACTCATTTTACAATTAGGTCACACTTTAAAATTCATGGATATGATCTAATTGTTGCAAATCATTGAGATAATAGAGCTTATGGTGGCTCTGCAATATTAACAAAAAATATGTCCTTACAACCATTATCTTTAGCATCCGATATTTGAGTATGTACWGTTTTTCGAAATAATCTATTGATATGAAATTGTGAGATGAAGTCAAACCAAATTCATTATTTTTGAAATTTTGATTTCGGTCTATTATATTAAGTATATGGAGGCTAAGGAATGTATTGGTCCGATTCAACCCATTTTTGATCAACAGACATACCATTATAAGACCTTAATTTCAGCTCTATATATCACACATTGAACGACATGTTCGACCAAATGTCGACAATAGGTTTCGGGGTCTAAATATTCGGTTCGGATTTAAAGATATTTTGACATACTAAAGACATTACTCGAGCAAAGTTTTATCCCGTTATATTAATTGCTTCTTGATTTGTGTACTGGAAACTGAAAGAATCAAGTAAAATTTAAAACTGCGCATATAGCACAAAATAGGTGTGGTTGTTGTTCAAATTTCAGTGTCACGACCATAGTCCAATTGGTTTAGGATATATGTACATTAAGAAGCTATAACAGTGCGACACTTTCAAAAAAACAAAAAAAAAAAAAAAAAAAAATTCCTTCCGGTTTTTAGCTCTTTATTCAATGCTTTATAAAAAGTGTTACAGTGGTCGGATTTAGTTCAAATATGAACCGTTTTGTTCGGTAATCTGTTTCCATCTGGACGGCACTTTTCACAACCCTCTTTTGAGTTCAAATTTACTCTAATAAGGGTCCATCTCCCATTCCAGTTCTCTCTCGCTCGCTCTGACGAGCTATCAACGAAGTGTGTGGTCTGGCGTTGTTCTGGTCAATTCTGGACGCTTCTGGTCGGTCAAGATGGTAGAATTAAGCGTCTGGCGATATGGGAGCAGCTCTTAGTAGATGATCCGCTTCTAATCCCATTAAACACACATCAAAAMCTTCCTGACCGTTAATACCGGTTTGGCGTTGATTCCCAAACATCAAGGGTTGGTGACTAACTCTCATCTTCAGGTCGATGTCTAACTCGACGACGGTCTAACTCGATGTGTACCATGATTTGATCAGTATTCGTCGTCACAGGTCTGGCGTGGCCAAGGTGTCGTTTTCACCCGCTCTGAATGGTCGAAGTACCATCAACCAAAACACCACTAATCTCACAGAACGTTTCTCTAGCCTTTTTTCTTTGCCTTTAACTTTAACGAAGGAAAACTTGAAAATATCGCTAGTTATCGGCGTTAGTGAACTCCATGTTTACACTTCTATAACTGTTGAATGCAATATCCACATTATTCATGCAAAGCGTCGTTTTGTAGGTTATGTCAAAACTCTACTAAAGATGTATAGTATTGTCAGATACGAGCTCTGTAGGACTTTATACATAGTCGCGAAGTTCAAAAGCCAAAAAGGCGGAACATAATATTTCGAAAAATATCCTATGGATAGCAGCGTTGTAAAGAGGGACCTCTCGGAGGTATCAATATAAGTGAAACTGTAAACGCGCCCAGTTAAATTAAAACTAGGTATTATTGAATAGATTTACTATACAATGACCTACGATCTTTTTGATTGGTTGAAAATTGTAAATTTTGCATTAAATAAGGACCGCTTTTTACATAAAAATTTTTTTTATTTAAAATTACGCCATTTTGTTAATTACTGATATTTTTAAAAGATCATAGGTATTGTATAGACAAAACAACCTTTTGAATTTTTTTTTATTTCAGGTGCTCATGCGGTCGGAATCATGTCTGCAGTTGGGGCACTTTTTTTTTTGGAGCCTCCGAAGACAGCGCATAACTCCGTAATTTTTCAGCACTGTTGTAACCAAAAAATCTTGAAGTATACCTGAAAATATACCATATTACGTTCAAAAAAGTTGGAAACATTTAATCGAGTACTACATTTTAAAAAAATTGGCGAAAATCGCTTAATTTTTCTTGCGTTGCACTGATATAGCCCCTTAAACTTGTTGGACAGCGTTATATCAGCTTTATATATTAACTTAGTGCTTAGTTGTGGCACTTTCTTATGTTTTTGGTTAGTGGCGATTTGTGGGCGTGGCAGTGGTCCGGTTACGCCCATCTACGAACTCGTAACTTTGTTTTGTACTAAGGAAGCCACATAACAAGTTTCATCGAGATATCTCCATTTTTTGACTCAAGTTACAGCCTGCACGAACGGACGGACGGACAGACAGTCAACCGGATTTCAACTTTTCTCGTCATCCTGATCATTTATATATGTATAATTCTATCTCGATTAGTTTTAGGTGCTACGTACAACCGTTAGGTAAACAAAACTATAAAACTCTGTAGCAACTGGTTTCAAGAGTATAAAAATCCATGTTACTTATATTAGAAACTAAAATTATATGTAATATATATTATATGATAAATAGAAGCAGTATAATGGGAAATAATAGCGACATCTAAATTAAACAATAAGCTATTGTTTGTTGATAATGGTTTTGCGTGAAATAGAAACATTTAAGAAGGTAAGAGTTGAAAAAATAATTTTTTAAGTACTACCATCAAATTATATCATGTTATAGAACATAGAACTCAGAAAGCGAATTTTTGGATTGTAAAAGTACACAAAACCACCATCAAATATAGAAATAATAATAACAAGTAAGAAAGGCCTAAGTTCGGGTGTCACCAAACTATTGCACTCTCACCATCTGCAAGGAAATATTTGCATTTGTTGAAAACATTATGTAAAAATGCTGCACATAAATTAATAATTTGTTATACGATGAAATTGTGAATGGATTACGATCAAAATTATTTATGCTATGTATTATCTGCACGAAATGCTAATCAAAATATTCCAGCTTAAAATTATATTGTGGCTAATATCGATTATGTAATAAAGTTCAACCGAGGGGTCAAAATTTAATATATTGAGTATATGAGAAAAAATTTATCAAAAGAGTGGAAATCATTATAGGAGGAGTATGGAGTTTAAACGAAATTCTAGAAGGATTTCAATATACCCTGAACATTGCATATTAAATTTTCCACAWAGTTTGTGATAGCCAGAAGGAAAGTAGAACCCTATCAAAAATTTATATAAATGTTGGGCTGAACAGCACCATTTTTTCTGAAGTGTTTTCGAGAAGAGAACAAAAGAACGGGAGAAGTGTTTTCCTACATAAATTTCTTTCTGAAATATAAAAGCTATTTCTCTTATAAAATTATTGTTTTTAAATCAATATAAACTGGATAATATAGAATATTTTTGTAAATAACAAAATTAGCTTTTAATTTTCTAAACAAAAATATAACTTGTAGGATAATTGGAAAGTCGGAGATTACTGAGGTTACAGAAAGGTCTGAGCTGATTGAATGATATTAAACTAAAGTGTATTCGAGAATATTTTTCTACGCAATTTTACACCAAACTATGGTATACCGATACTATTTATTCCACTCTCTTAATTTCATTACACGAATGTCACATCTTGAAAACGCTATTTGTGAAAGGTTTTAATTTGATATCTTCACTTGACCTTGATTTTATAATATATGAGGTGCAAAGTGAAAGAATGTTATGCACAAAATTTTCCACATAACCTTTGTTGGAGGTGAGCATGTTTATTATTCAATATGACGCATTTTCAAATGGTACAGTAGTAGGTAAAGTAGTAAAAAATGGTTTCAGTATGCTTCATAAATATAGCTCAAGGGTTTTACGAGATGTCTATACAAAACTGGGCCTGAAAATAATCACATTCCATTCATGTGCTAAGCTAACCTCTTCTGCGTGCCAAGTCGCATACAGCTATCTCAGTATGTTCTCAAATTATCGCTCCAACTTATGGATAACCTCCCAGAATAGTTATATACATATTTTCAAATCAAATTAAAATAAGTAATACGCGTCTTAATAATTTATATATATTATTATTTAGAAAATATTATTGAAATTACCTGTAATTTGTTTATTTTCAAATCAAATCGAATATGAAACCTCTTTTCTTTGTAAGTCATCTTGGCATCACCGTATCGCTCTATTCCTTCCACGTTATACACTATTCCGTTGCTTAAAATCAAGCGTGTCTTATATTCAACCAAAATAAATGTCTGTAAAAATAATAATATGAAGTGTAGAAAGCAATGAAAATGTACATCTAAAATGTTATAAAAACTGTTTGTAAAGTTCTGACCGCCTTACTTATATTTTATAAATTTGAAAGTAGTTTTCTTTTTTGCCAAAAAATAAAAAATTAAATATGGCACTATCGATTACTTTGGCGTTCGGGTGAAAAAAACGAATTTCGGTATAAATGGGGTATGTGCTGATAGTTTAAAAAACTGCAGTCGAAGTAGCAGAAGCCGCAATATTTTTGCTTTTCACTGCTTCGACTGCGAGCGACTTCTTAAAATGAACAGTTGCTTCTGCTTTTGCTTCAAAAGAAAACAGAAGTCTCAGTTGAAGCAAAAGCAGAAAACGATCGCCGACGAAAAGCGAATCAGAAGCAGCAGACGCCGTGTAAAATGTTTTGATTTTGCTTTGCTGCTGCTCTCGATTCTGCAAGTCGCTGCATATCGCCATCGCGACTACTGTCGCGTCTGAATTTTTCTGCATATACTGTTTGATTCTTCATTCTTGTGCATCAGTGTCAATTGAAGCAAGATCGWTACAGRAGCTTAATTGTTTAACTATGGCGCAAAGTGATATTTGGATGTATTTCGAGAAGAATGTTGATGAAGGCATAGCTACATGTAAAACAACTAAAAATATACTAAAAAATAATAGACTTTAAAGTTTAAAAACTCATTTACTTAATTTACACAAAATAAATTTAAATGCTGCAGTGTTGAACAGTTAGAAACATCGTCGTCAAAAAACTAAAAAAAAACTATTAGAAAAAAATAAATAAAAATTGAAGTGAATAAAAAACAACTGCTGAGGTCATATATTGGATTGGTGACAGAAGACAGCATTCCTTTCAATGTCTTAAATTCGGAATATGCGAAATATCGATGACCCAATTTGTGATGGACTTAAAGCCGCTGACGGAAAAAAAATTACGTTAAATGCATCAAACTGAAAAAAAAACTTTTCAAACAGTGGCAAACAATGTAAAAGCGCATATAACCACTGAAGTGGCAAATAAATTATTGTCTCTAAAAATAGACAGTGCCACGCGGCTGGCAAGAAACATTTTTGGCATAAGTGCTCAATATATTAGTTCAGTTCAAATAAAATCCTTTATATTGGGCATTGTAGAGCTTGAAGGTGTTGAATCGAGCACAGCCAAAGATCTCGCCGCTGAAGTGCTAAAAGTCCTAATAAATATGATATAAACTTAAGCCAAATAGTGTCAATTAGATCTGACAATGGTGCCAACATTCCAATATTATCATTTGTTTTCGATGAAAATCTTGGCGAGGACGACGGATATTGCTCTCGATGTTACCAAATCGACGAATATGTTGAATACCTATTTAATTGTTGTAACATGACAAAATTTATAAGAAAAAYTTTAGGGATTTCGCGAAATATTCGAGCTGAAATAGCTAAAAATGCCGCAAATAGATTGTCCGACCAGATGGGGATCCACCTACACGATGCTAAAGGATTTGTTAGTGGCTAAAGTTGAATTAACTGAAATTGAGTCAACTGAAAACAAAATCGAAGAAGACAGTTTTGAAGTGGATGCATCGTTGTGGGATTTTATTGAAAACTCTTAACAATAGTCCAATTGCAGAAAACAATAAAAAAAATTCAAGAAGAGCAACTGCATTATGGAAACTTCTACGCCCAATCGCAAAAATTAAAATTTTGCACAGAAAAAATTATTAAATAATAAATAATAAATTTCTCATTTCGTGTTTGTTTTTGGATCCTTTTTTTCCAACAAATTTTTTTAAATTTCCAACATACACTAACACCACAACAAAAAAAATTATGCAGTGAATCATTTAAAATCAATATGGGACAGAATAAAAGACATAAATTCTACTCGACAGTTATGCTCAACACCAAATTCGGGCTCACATCAATCTGTGAACCATTTTTTTGATGAAGAAGATGAATAGTTAAACGCTTACTTAGAGCAAGGGATCCAAACGGAAGTCAGTAGCATATTCGACGTCTACTCAAAGATTCACAATCTTCAACTTCCTTTCCAAAGAATCGATGCAGACGTTCACACATTTGGAAAGGAAATCAGTGCACTGACCAGGAGCTATATGCACTAAGTAATGTTTGCTTTGCTGTACCACCAACTCAGGTACTTATATACAAATTTTTTAATAAATTAATGTTCACAGTTTCATAAATACAATTGTTTTCTAACAGGTGACGATTGAACGAGCATTTTCGACGTTAAGACTTGTACTTACTGATTACCGAAATCGACTAAGTCAGGAAGTACTAGAGAATATACTGCTGATCAAATTGAATCCAAGCTTTCTGGACTCAGCGATTGATAACTTATCTCTTTTTTAAGACGACGAAGATTTTGAAAGTTTATTTTGAATAATATTGTATTTTATGAAAAAAATTAATTWAAAAAAAAAATCAAATTGTCAAACTGTTTAATTTATTAGAAGACAGGGGGAGCAACAAACAGCATAAGCAGCAAAGTAAATTTTGACAGCAGCCACCAACACTTATATTTTTTTAGAATATTACCAATAATAATAATAATAATACTAATAATAAATAAATATAAAAAAATGTCGAGTTCGTAGTTGTTCGTAATGGGACCACCTCAAATCACCATTAACCGAAAACATATGAAGTGCCATAACTAAGCATTAAATGAAGATACGAGTATAAAAGCCATGTTTTATTTGACCATCACAAGCTAATAACTAAATCATAGACATATTAAACTTAGCTTTTTTCATGTTTTCGCTTGAAAGTATGTTGACAATATTAAATTAGTATACTTATAAAAATATTTATTTCGTAGATTCGATGATATTAATACAAAAAAATTATAAAAAAWTTTTATATTTGTATAAATTTTGACCTAAACAAACACACAAAACTTTGTAATTTTGGTTTGTCAAAATAAACATTATCGTTATTACCAAATACTTTTTTTTGGAAAAATCATAGCTATTGTTAATGAAAAAACGATGAACTGGCAATGTCTCTAGTTCAATATACAAGTTATGACACCTTATAACAAGCCAACATAATTATGTTCGCTACGTCTTCCATACAAAATAAGCTAATAGCTTAATTTGCTGGTCAAATAAAACTGGCTTAGAGCTGTAATTTTGTACAGAGGATCGCAGTAGCAAGAGACACCTGTGCACAAATATTTTTGGATGACATCGAATAACTCCGTCCTCTCCCCATATAGAGCTACTAAAAGCACAATAAAAAACGAACGTTGTCACATATTAAATACCAATTGTAAAGGATTTTCAACGACAACGTTCGATTTATATTTATTACACAAATAAGTAAAAGTAGCATTGTAATTTAAATTTTTTATATATTATATTACTATTTTATTTTATAATAAGATCATGTCACCCTTTGACTGAAGTACTTTCTCGTAGTACTCCTTTAAAAAAATAATCCTGATCGTGCCAATATGTAATATGCATTGAAAGTTTGTTTATTCTCATTTTAACTTGAAATATAATTTATAGATACTTGTTTTTATAAGAACTCAGATTGTTAAATAAAATATGGTCGTACGAAAGCATACCCAACGATTGGAACTTAAGTGTGATATGCCCAATCCTCAAAAAAGGAGACCCCACAGTCTGCGCCAACTATCGTGGGATAAGCCTGCTCAATATCGCATATAAGGTTCTATCGAGCGTATTGTGTGAAAGATTAAAGCCCACCGTCAACAAACTGATTGGACCTTATAAGTATGGCTTCAGACCTGGAAAATCAACAACCGACCAGATATTCAGCATGCGCCAAATCTTGGAAAAGTATCCCTGCAAAACTTATACAGCTGTGTAAGCTGACGTTGACCAGCACCAAAAGCTCCGTCATAATCGGGAAGGACCTCTCGGAGCCGTTCGATACCAAACGAGGTTTTAGACAAGGCGATTCCTTATCGTACGACTTTTTCAACCTCATTCTGGAGAAAATAGTTCGAGCTGCAGAGCTAAATAGAGAARGTACCATCTTCCATAAGAGTGTACAGCTGCTGGCGTATGCTGATGATATTGATATCATCGGAATCAACACCCGCGCCGTTAGTTCTGCTTTCAACAGACTGGACAAGGAAGCAACACAAATGGGTCTGACAACCAATCCAATCCAACGCAGGATAACTCATTTCAACAGGTGCTACTTCGGACTGAGTAGGCAATTGAGAAGTTAAGTTCTATCTCGACAAACAAAAACCAAACTCTATAAGTCACTCATAATTCCCGTCCTGCTATATGGTGCAGAGACTTGGACGATGTCAACAACGGATGAGTCGACGTTGCGAGTTTTCGAGTGAAAAGTTCWGCGAAAGATTTATGGTCCTTTGCGCGTTGGCCACGGCAAATATCGCATTCGATGAAACGATGAGCTTTACRAAATAYACGACGACACTGACATAGTTCAGTGAATTAAAAGACAGCGGATACTCTGGCTAGGTCATGTTGTCCGGATGGACGAAAACACTCCAGCTCTGAAAATATTCGACGCAGTACCCGCCGGGGGAAGCAGAGGAAGAGGAAGACCTCCACTCCGTTGCAAGGACCAAATGGAGAAGGACCTGGCTTCCCTTGCAATATAGCGAAAAGAAGAAACGACTAGCGCAGTTGTTAACCCGGCTATAATCGCGTACGATAATCAAGAGGAAGAAGAAGAACTTGATAACAAGGATTCCATACCACGGAAGCATACTCTAATATAGGCCTCACCAATGATGTAAAGAGAATTTTTGTGGTAAGTGGATCTCTAAATTCTTTAGRCCAACGCTTAACAAATCGAAGATTACCTTTAGCTTTAAAACCCATGGAAGATGTGTGAAGATTAAAATTGAGTTTGGGGTCCATAGTTACCCCAAGTCAACAAAACTGCTCCAACCCAAAGTTTTGTATTACGTATTACTAAGTGAAAAGCACATCGTTTTGCATTTTTTAAGGTTCAATGGCATGTCATTTCTATCACACCAAGAAACTAGGTTGTTTAAGTCTGCTTGTAACTGACATCTTTCACTATTCGAGGTGAATGATTTAAAAAGTTTTACATCGTCAGCATACAATAAAACTTTTGAAAACTTAACAACAGATGATATGTCATTAATAAATAACAAGAACAGAATTGGTCCAAGATATTCTCCCTAGAGCCCGTTGATACATGTAATAGTAATTCAAGCAAATTAGTTATTGTAGATTTCCCTTTACGAAAACCGTGCTGAGAACAAGAAATTAGTGGAGAGATCCGGAAGGTTATGTCGTCTGTATAATTGCTTCAAAAAGTTTAGGTATTGCAGACAACGTTGCTATTCCCCTAAAGTTTTCAATAGATGACCTAAATCCACTCTTATGTAAAGGAATTATAAATGAACTAAATAGTTTTGTTAGGGGTTATTATATATATTTGGCACATTTCTTAAGAAAGCACGAGGGAATCATATCTGGGCCATAATTGTATGATTTTTCTAACATATTTAACTGACATAAGACGTCTGCTTCAGAAATGGTAGGTGCATTAATGACAGAAATCGGACATAACTTGTGSTGATGCGGAACATTTTTTGGAGATTTTGGAGAGTAATTGGACTTGAAGAATTCAGCGAACATATTAGAAATGGTGTTATTTTCACTAGACATACTAGACTTATATTTCATAGCAGAAGAAAAATTAGAAATCCTGCGTTTGGAGTTGACGAAACCATAGAACAATTTTGGATTACATAGAATATTATTTTTTACTTTATTTATATAATTATTATAACATATTTTGTTAAGATCAGCAAATTGTCGGCGCAATTTAGTTTATTTGGAATAGTCAGCAACTGAACCAGTTTTTTTTAAAAAGTTTAAAAGCACGAGATTTTCTATTTTTTAATTTATATAATTCTTTCGGAAGCCATAAATTAGAACTCATTTTATGAGTAACAACACACTTCGGAACGTATTTTTCAAACAAGTTTAAAATAGTTTCATTAAAGTGGGAAGCACTAAATTCAATGTTGCCACTGTAATCTGGCCAAGTAACTTTAGAAAGTTCGTATTAATTTTCTTAAAATTAGCTTTCGCAAAGTTAAACCGAAAACAAAGGTCTTGTGTATTATTACGAGCAAAATTGGCTATGGTTTCGAGAACATTGAAACGTTATCAGCATAGACTAGATCTAAGAACTTACCAAACTCGTTCGAAATTAAATTAATTTGGTTAAGACCCAACTCCGACATTTTRTCTAAGAACTCCTTGAAACATAAGCGAGTACTAATAGGAATGGTGTAGTCATCAATAGATTTCCATGATACGCACGGTAAATTGAAATCCCCCACAACAATCATGGAATCAGTATTATTAACCATTGAGAAAGCATTATTTATTAATGAAGCATGCTGCATATATACAGAATTGTGGCAATAATATGCTTAAACTAGTGCAGAAAGAGCCTTTAAAATTATTATTGATATATAAATTCATAGTAGATTGAAACCCTTTGGAAATGAAATATAAAATAACAATTGTTAAGGGAAAAAACATTTTAAGTACGATCTAAGGCCGGGAATAGGAAGGGAAGGAGCGTGCCTAAATTTTTAAGGGTTAGGAATGGTTTTATCTCGACTTCCTACAAAACTAAGAGTTCTGTAGAAAAAAGTTACATGGCAGTGTTGTATTTAATAAAAAGTTCTCTACGGATTTTTTTCATTTAACGTTAAAATGTGTGTAAAAAATTCAAATACGAGGTGCATTCCAAAGTAAACAGGAGTTTAAAAAAAAAGGAACAAATGGTTTTTCGGCAAAACCAATTTATTTTATTCAAAATAAGAATAAAGCATGTCGGAAGAGAGTTTTATCTCGTTTTCCGGTATGGCCGCCAGTATGCCGGTGCAAACCTTTTGAATGGTCTCTGCATAACGCTTTCTTTTCATGGGCAAATGCATTTTTCCGAAAAGGAAGCAATCGCACAGTGCCATATCAGGTGAATGCGGGGAGTGGTCAACGGTTAAAATGTGATTTTTGGTCAAATAAGCGTCGATCGAATATTGGATTCCAAGCAATTTTTGGTCGTCAGTCAATTTGTGTGCAACAAACCGTGCACCACCTTTACCACCTAGCCAAAATATTCGGTCAAAATGCGATAAATCGATGTTTTGGAGATGTTCAATTCCATTTCCATGAATTTCAACTATCATTTCTGCTGATTTTTGATGACTTTATAGTGTTGAACTTGAACTGGGCCATTCTTTACTTGCTTCAGATGAAATTATTAAAAATTATACATACCAAGGAAATTGTCTCTGTTATATCCGGTAGATTTAAATGTTCGACCTTTATATTATGCAAATGATTTAAAATCATTGGGATTACCATATCCACCTCAGCGTTAATGTTGGTCCATCGAGGATTAACTTTTACCTGGTCCTCTTCATTCGATTGAGATAATTCAGGAGAAAGTTTGGAGGAATTTATATGACTTTGTCTGCGTAGAAAAAGAAAAAGAGAATACAAAGAAATTATGTTCTTTCATATACTACCCGTATTCTTTCACTATTCTAGTTTCAAACTTCACTGCACTTCTTATAACAATTGTATCTAACACTTAAAACATGCATTCCTTGGTATTCTGAGAGTAATAGAATTATATGAAATCAGATTACTAAAACTCAGACTAAATCACAAATTCAATTAAAAATTACAATTAAAAACAGATCACAAAGAGAAGGGGCACTTGTGGTTTAAGAATTTTGAAGAATAGATTTTTCCAGACACTAGAAATTTCTTAATTTCTCTACCCCAATTTAACTAAAAAAAATGCTACTGTCAAAACTAAGTTTTGACCTCGTAGGGAAGKGACCGTTTACGCAGATTTTATAAAAATTTAAAGTAAAAATACATTTTGACAAAAAGAACAATGAAATTGTAAATAAAACGCAAAATATTTAATTGTTCATCAATATTTGTTTTTACGCCTTCAAAGTAATCCTCACCAAATGTAAGTCATAAGTGTAATGACAACCATTTTTTCAGTCCTCGATACATTTTTCATAAGCACTTTTTGGGACGGCCTTCAGCTCCTTCAGCGAATTTTGTTTTATCTCTTCTGTCGACAGAGAACGGGCTTCAGGGAGCCACAATTGCAGTTTGGGGAACAAGAAAAATTCAMTCGCAGTCAAATTTGATGAATACGGTGGTTGATCGATGGAAGTCATTGCCTTTTTGACTTTAAACGCGTTTCAYACCCAAAATATCCACCAAAATCATTTGAACGGGAGAGATGTGGAGCTCACTTGCCATCTAACACTTGCCTGAAGATTTCGACTATCTTTAAACAATTTGTGCCAACCGTAGGCTTCTGTTTCGATAAAACTGAATCACTGTAAGCCTTTTCCAAAATTCCCAACGAAATTCGGTTAGAATTATAAAATTTGAGACAAATTCGTTATTTTTATCCATTATAAAAATCGCAACGCACTTAAGTGATTTCATTTAAGTTTTAATAGTTTCAAATATGAAGCTTTCCTTAGCGACCTACGGATAGTAGATAAGCTTACTTTAACTCCTGCATTTACCCAAATCTTGACGGTCGATTCATAAGGGGTGGATGTTTTTCTCAAAATTACTTATTACTAACATTCCGTTGTGTGATGTGATCTTCGCAGGCCATTTTGATTCAAATGTGCATATCATGTTACTCCATTTCGCTGTACTCTTAACTTACTTATGAATATACATCAGTCATTGTAAATGCTTATATTATAAGATGAAATTAAATAAATTTTAATATCAGTAAAGGACAACGTTGAAGCTTTCGGTGGTGTTGTCTTACCATTGTGTGGTGATTGTCGACAGACCAGTCAATTTCGCTTTTCTGAAGGCAGTGAAATTAACGAATTTTTCAGTAATCGCTATTTTATTTAAGTGCTGAAAAACCTCAATTGACCATTGTATGTTCATAACTGACTAATTTATTTACTTTAGAGTAGTGATGGGTGATACTTTACTACCGGCAATTTCTTAACAGTGTTTGAAAAATCATATATCGCAACTGCGATATCAGTTTTATCCTATATTTTGCGTGCGCAGTTCTATTCTGTGCGATTGCGATATCAATATTTTCTAAGTCCGCTTGGACGAAGGAAGGGACAAAATTCTAATACGTTTAAATGAAAATGTTAAACACATTCCTTTTTATATACATACGTTTATTCGTTTCAAGAAGTAATAAGAATTAGTAACTGCATAAGAACTTTTTTTAATTGGAGAGCTTGTGATGAATTTAAAAAATAGAGTATACATATTTGTTTTTATATTTTCGTTGTTTTAGTTGCGATCTCAAAAACAATATAAAACTAGCAATTATTTAAATTCTTGGCAGGCCATCAGATGTGGTTTAAATCATTTGCTATAGTTCTTTGCGAAAATTATAACGTAGATTATCTAAATGTTACCACATCATCACATAAACTTCCATCGAAAATTTATTCCCGCATTTTTATTCAGTGTAAATACAATCCATCTCAATAGTGCGATGGTTAACGTTTGGTAATAAAAAATACTACAGAATGTAAAATTGTAGCAAAATTTTAAGTTGAAAATTTAATAGAGAAATAGTTTTCATGCAACGTTTTCCAATGATAATTAGATTGAAATTGAAAATTACTCTTTTGTTACAAACTTCAACTGAAAATTATTAAAACAAAAAAATCAAAATCTAATATTATATCTTAGGTGTATTAGCGCTTTATAACGAAGATATGAAAATTATTGTATTGAATAGTTTATAATTAATTAATACTTTAGCCACGGAAACGCGTGGACGGGTCCTCAAATTTGCTGCGTGATATTCTATATTATGGCTTGAAAACCACGCTTACTTTCCACTTAACACAGATTTAAATACCTTTTGAAACATTCACTTTCCAGTAGAGGATAAAATTACACGAATAGTGCCATCTTATCAATAGAAATTTCTCGAGGTACTAAGACCCAGTGCTTAAAGTTGACTTCTTACCAAAAATATCGGTTAATATGTAAGAYATTTACTTAAAATTCAAAGAGAATCCCTTCCTGTGTGTTAGAAATGGATTTACTCGGGTCAATATTTTCCTTAGCTCCCATATACCTATTACAGAGATTTTCRAACTTAGGTGTGACTTTATGCCGTATGTATGGGTCAATAAAATTGAGAGACTTGATAATTTAAAATAAAAAACCGATTTACCTGTGATTTACCATTTGCAAAGATGTAGTGTATTTAATCTACGGAGCGAAAGACACTTGTACCGTCTATCTTACGTTTAGCACATTTTCCCGCCGACGAAAGAATAAAAAAACTTGTAACAACGATAAACGCAAATCAAGTTTCATGCGCTTACCTAATGACGTAAAAATAAGCACATTTTTTGACTGAAAAGGACAGAAAAAAGCAAAAAGCATAGTAATGGGCATTGCAAGCATTTTGTTATCGCATGTTTTCTTTTCCTATGATTGTTTATACAAAGATGAGAAAAACAGAAATCAATAAAGTAGTTGGAAGTTAATAACCAAAAAAATCAGAAGCAATCGTGTTAGGCTGATGAAGGTATTCTAACCTGGAGCTGTAGAAGTAGACAATAGTTGGAACGCTATATAACTAAGATAAAACAGCTAATCTTCTTCTTCTTCTTGATTGGCGTAGACACCGCTTACGCGATTATAGCCGAGTTAACAACAGCGCGCCAGTCGTTCTTTTCGCTACGTGGCGCCAATTAGATATTCCAAGTGAAGCCAGGTCCTTCTCCACTTTGTCCTTCCAACGGAGTGGAGGTCTTCCCCTTTCTCTGCTTCCCCCGGCGGGTACTGCGTCGAATACTTTCAGAGCTGGAGCGTTTTC